GGGGGAGGGGGGGGCGTACTCTGATGTTTTGCATTCCTTAGCGGTTAGACCGTTGACACGCGTCCTCGATAGGACGGAGCATTGTTCCCACAGGACCGATCACCGATGGTCAGTCGTACCTTCCTACTTTACCCCAAGGTGGCTCAAAAATGTCTTCCCCAATCTATCTATCATATCGGTATCACTTCCTGCCTTTTCAACCCACTTACTAGCATGCCCCAGTACAGCTACCGTCTCTTCCTCGCTTTTCCACATTTCAAACATCTCCCTGTACGTCCCTTGTACTTTTCCCAGCTCAGCCATGTACACTTGCCTCTCCTTCTTGTACAACAGACATTCCGCAACTACATGAACACGGTCTTGGCGCTCGGAGCCGCAATCACATTTGAAGTTGTCGTCTTCGTCGTCTACCTTCCTCTATCTTTGTCTACCTTCTCGAAGGCCAATGTCCCCTGTCCTGAATTTGACCTTCATCTCTGTCCCTGCATCCACTGGTCCATGTAGGTACTCCTTGAACCCTTTCCTTCTTTCAACATTCCGTACTCTTCTAGACCCTCCTTCTCCTTGGCGTCTTTTTCTTAGATTCTGTTCTTCTCTCTCGGCGAAAGCAGCAGATCTCTTCTCCTTGAACCCTTTTAGACGTTCCGTTTCCAGCGTTTCACCTTGATCAGTTTTGAACCCCTTCCACACGTCATCTACAACCTTGACCCATTCCGTGGGTTGTCTACCCCTCTTTTTGTTTGCCCACTTCGCCTCCCATACTATTCTCCTCTCCTTTCCCATACAGCACATGCGATACTGCCATGTCAGCTTCCTGGCGTCTCTTTCCGATCGTAGGGATCGGATTCCCAGTTCTGCCCTGACGGGTGCATTACTTGTGCGCTTGCAGCGTCCTAGGATGACTTTCGCTGCTTTCATCTGCGTCGCCTCGAGCTCTTTGACTACCTTCTTGTTTCCTTCCCATAGTTCTCCGGCGTACTCTAGCGGGTACGATTACGCTCTTCAAAACTGTCAATGTTGATGCGTGTATCGAGGTGCCGGTTCGCGAGTATTGGGTGCAGCTTTCCTGCTCGTGCTTTGCCCTTTTCCGCTTCCTTGGACTTGTGTGCTTTCCTCGAGCCGTCTTCTGCGATCTCTACTCCGAGATATGTGCACTGATCCACTACTGCACGCTCCTCGATCCCCCGCTTCCATCTATACTCTTGTGGTTTCTCCCTATCCTCGTTGCATACCATGACGGCGCTCTTCTTACAATCTCAACTTTACAGAAAATTCCTTCACTGCGTCAATCTGCATTTGCAGCAGGGGTGTCAGACATCCCAACAAAATCATCCGCAAACAGCATTTCCGACACCCCAAGTTTCCCCCACCTTTACCCCTTCCCAACTGCCCTTCCGGCTTTCAACAGATCGTTGATGAACATCTGTAACAGTGTTGGGGACAACGTCCAACCGTGTAGGACCCCCTGTTCAATGTTGAAGAATTTAGACAGTTCTCCGCCTAGCATTTTTTTGTACACTCTGTCATCTTCTTCAGCACTCTCCACGTTTCCCCCTTTATCCCTACTTGGACAAATGTTTCCACAACCCATTTCTCCATATCGTATCGTATGGCTTTCGCACGTCCAAGAGGAAGCAGTACGTCGGCGTCCCCGCCCTCTTTCTACCTTGGATGATTCTCCCAACCGTAAATGGGTGGTTTACGCACCCCCTCTTGTTTCGTAAACCTGCCTGGCCCTAACTTATCCTACCTTCCTCCTCCAATACTCCAACTATCCTATCGTTCAGCAGCTTACAGAACACGTTTCGTAGTGTTTCAACAGTGTGATCTCCCTGTAGTCTCCTGGATTAGTCTTAAAAAACAAGTTCACAACCACCCCCCATCTACTTGGCGAACACACGTTTTTCCCACTCCCAGTTGTACAGCAGTACCAACAGTTCACGAGAACACCTCTAGCGTCGTTTCTGGTTGTCTGCTGCTGCTGTCAAGTCATGCGACGCCACTCACACACCATATCGGTAGGCTCTGGCAGTTTCGAGCAGTGTACCGTACATGACTTAAGATATCACACCCCCTGGACCGATTTTCAAAACTCGATTATTTCACAAAGAGGATGCATAGCCGAAAGGATACGTTTCCAGAGAGCTCTCGACCACACGGCTTCAACGCCGCCGTTTTCGGCCCTCCGACTGCTGCTGCTGTTGAAAAATCGAGCTTTCAAGATCGGTCCAGGGGGTGTGTTATCTTGTGTCATATACGGTAGTTGCTTGTGGCGTGCTGTAGCTGTCGGCAACAGAAGCACACTCTGGTGCGCTGGTTCACCAAAAATCTCGGCGGGAAGATTGTGCTCAAATCGCAAAACTTCAAACACCTCCATCTCGCGGTGCAAGGCCTAAACTGATCACAGAATTTTGATCGACGGAGTTGCTCAAGCTGGTATGATTTCTCAAAAGGATGTAGAGGTTTGCGTCTCCTGGGGCTAAGCGCCAGAGGGGACAATTGAGATTTTTTTTGCGTTTTTTTTTTATCTAGCAGTTTGACCTGTGAGGAAGAAAGTGATTGGGGAAAAAACACCATCGCGAAGCCCCGGGGACACAAGGGACGGCGAGGAACCTTGCATAGCCTTAAGACATCGATGAACTCAAACGACCTCCGGCTGTCGGATTCCCGACCCTAGCAAAGACATCATACAACGGCGACAGTGCATGTTGGCACGCTCAGATTTGTTGCTGGGGCGGGGACATACAGATAATAGATACACTTGGATCGAAGGCTACCTGCAGACGTTGATCCAAACCAAACGTTGAACCAGGGGTTGTCCAAGGGATCGATATAGTGCTTTCAGCTGCTGTTGCAGACCCGCAGTTGAGGATGTTGTATCTGTGACGGGCGAGCGCTGCTGTGAAAGTGGATTGGTTTGGACCCAGATCTGCTCATTTGCGGACTACAGCTGCGGCCTTCAACAGCTCAGCCCCAAGAACATATCTGTGAAGGCATATCGATGCCCCATGTCTTGTCACTGATGTGGTAGTTCTTGCCCAACCTACACCGTGCCATGCTAGTTAATCGCGCCGCAAACACACTGCGTTGACTGCTATTGTCGAACTCTCGTTCTTTCCTGAGAAGATATTTGGGTGCCCTTGCCTTTATTTGTACCGTCCTACAGGTAGAACAGTACGGGGACAAAGCCATCTTTGTCCACATCTACGGGCCAGAGCCGCATCCTAAGCCCCCGGACCTCAACTTCGATGCGGGCACTTTTTCGCCGAATTTTTGGAGCGTTCACCGGCAGCCGGTCATTTATGACGTCCGAGTTGAAAAGGCGAAGAAAATTCGCAGCATCACTCATCCGGATGAGGTGAGCACATCCCTTCGAATGTTGTAGCATGCCATACGATAACGTGATACCGTCACATCTTCCGATCAGGATGCCGCATGGCATCCCGCGGTATTTCACGTTTTTCGAGCGAACTTAGGCGTCGCAAGGGGGGAGTTGCAGCTCCTCAACAAAGAGCTGAAGTTGTTTTTAGCATAGAACAGGGTAAAATGCGGAGTTCTTTTTCATCATACTACCAGATCGGATGGAAAACGCTTCCCTCGTTACTGTTATTTAGAGCATTATTCGCATTTTTTCACTCACATCTGGTGAGTTTTTTTCTCGGATCATGAATTAGGCGCCTAGGATGCAGTAACACGCACAAGTTCGTTTCGAGAGAGCTGGCCCACAGTTTTTTTTTGCGACATGCCGGATGTAGTTCGTGCGAATACATTTTCAGCATGAGAAAAACGTTCATTGGGAATCATTCTGGCTTGAACAAAATCAAACTGCAGTAACAGTCTCGAGGACTGGTTTGGGACACACAGTCTCGCAAAGTCAAGTATGCTGCAAGCGACTTCATCCGCGACTGGGAAGCCCATCGACAGCCGTAGCTGGTATGCATATGTAGGTGTCTACGCGTTCCGGCGGTAGTACATGAATGGGAACAACGCGGGGTAGATCGAGCTGAGCTTTCGATTGTCTCGGGTCCGTCTCTCTGTACCTAAGCGTATCCTCCCGCATTATCCCGTGACTGCAAAATAACCGCCACGCTCACCAGTCGCTGATGCCCATGGAGCGCCATCATGCGGTTTGAGCGGTGACGAATTTTTACTCTCCCTGCAATGAGTTGTCCCGCATGCTCGTGTCTCTTGCCCGAAACACGCGCACACAGGTTGTCCTTCCAGACTACCTCACGGGCAACCCTTACAGCTCGCTCAACCAACCAGTTTGGTGCACTTACGCCAACGGGGCCCGCCCGTCCGTCATGGTATCCTCTAGCGGATCAGTATTTTACCAGCAGGAGTGGTTGAGCACCGAAGGGCTGGGAAACGCCATCGACGGCTACTGGGAACAGGACGGAGCCGGGACTTGGGACGACGGCGAGGGAGTCCCACCGATTTTGAATCCCAGGGCCCAGCCGGGCAGAAAGAAACCCAACGCTAGGAAAGCCAGCGGACCAAACCGCCCCTGAAGAAACGCTGTTTCTAGCACCAGAGTTTCGACGAGAGGGAGTGCGGGCGGGAGGTTGTGATGTGAGGATCCTGTCTTGTCTTCTGCCCCGCGAACGCGCTGAAGAGGGTTGACTCTGTGGGGTGCGGATCATTCCTGAGCTCTAATTGGATGATGGGAAGCGCTGTGACGACGGGATGCGTTTACGTCCTGTCGTAGTCACGAGATCATGTGTTCAACACTTCGATGGCGCCGTAGCCTTCACTTTGGTTTCGAATCACAACCTCTGCTAGGTCCATTTTTACTGCTGTAGCACGGGTCCGTTGCTTCTGACATGTCCAGAGGATTGTAGAAATGTGGAAAGGCGCTGCTTCACCAAGCCGTCCTTTGTGAGTCCGATCGGTGAGAGAGACGAGGTTGATATCGTAGAAGAAATCGGTGATATAGTCATTGTTTTTTGTTTTGCGGTCTCTCCCGTTTTGTTGATGCTCCTGCGGCCTGGCCTACACCCACCGCGTTTGATGATGCGGGTTCGATTCCGTCTGTGGTTGGTTATAAAGTGCCCTGCTCATGCAGGGCTGCGTCCAATCCGAGGTCCGCTTTCCTTGATCCTTTGAACGGATTAGAATTTGGTGTGTGACGATGTGACCATTTGTACATGACAACATTTCCGAACAAAAGCTGCCGCCGACGCGGCCTCCTGGAGTTATGTTGTTTCCGGCTGTTTCGTAACACTTGGTTTTGGCGGCTTCATTGGTGGGACACATACGTTACATTGTTCGGCGCGGATATCGGAAAGCGATTGTCGTTGTTGTGGAGCATTCGCCGAAGTGAACGTAGGCTCGTCGTGCTGGCGAGGGCTGGGGTGTGCGCAGGCAGGGCCACGAATCTCGTCGTCGTGGCGTTGTTGAGCTCAGAGAATTCGGCTGCGGAAAAGGAGAGCGAAAAGAAAGGCAGACACAACAAAAAAACGTTTCTTTCAAGTATGTATGCTGGTGAAGGCAGAAGCAAGACAAAATACTTGCGTTCGGCACCGGTGTCGCCGAGATTGAAATTCCTAGGGAACGGTATCATCGAGATACAGGTCGCGTGAGGGCACCGCCGAGATTTCTTGCGCGTAGATTTCGATCGGCCGCGGTCAAAACGCGTTCACGAATTTGGAATGGAATTGAAGAGGGTTTTGAGTTTTTTTGTCATTGTTGTTGTGAGTCCGGCAATACGTATTTATTTTTCCTTAGGTTGAGTCTTACGGCGTGATTATTTCCGGATTGGATTTGGGGGGGGGGTCCTTTTCTGAGCCGAAAAAATAATTTGGGCGTCTTACGGGTAGGAAAATGGCTATTTCTAACAACCCAAAATCCAACAACGCAGTTTCCAACAGCGATTCGGGCCGGCCTGTTAGAAAATTGGCCCATTTTCCAACAGCGATCCTGTTGGAATATCGCTGTTAGAAATGGGGGGGAGTACCTCTGGTCACACCCCGATCGTGCCAGAACGAGGAACTACAACGTCTGCTGGCCAAACAGAGGCCAGCATCATGAGGTCATACACAAACCCTCAGCAGGTATCTAAAATTCAGGGCGTTCTGCGTCGTGTTGACCGCACACGAGCCGAAAACGTCAACCCTGCCACATCGCTTTTATTTTGACTTCATTTTCCCGTGTGCGTGTGTTTCGCTCGGCGGACCTTAGTCCACTTTGTTTGCCCTTGCGCGTGTATATGACTGATCTCCGCGCCTGGCCTTGCCTGGTTTCTGGTTTCTTTTGCGGTTTGCCGTTTGGTTGCGAGTATGTGCCTGGACCATCACTAAGAATTTCCACCACATCTATCTTCGCACTAATAACCCATCGGGGCTGCCCTCGGTCATTCTCTCCCGTACTTGACAGGAGAAAAATCTGTGGTTCACGCTTCCCCGTCTACCCGATAAAGCGTAGCCTTGCCGATCCTCATCTGACGCCAATGGCTACCATGGTCACGGCCGACGGCCACCTGTCGTTTTTCCGACTCGGTACCCATGCCAACGCCAAGTCAAGAACGAGGAAAATCGTTGCTCTTTTCCTTCGTCCAACTTCTTATCACCGCGAACAACAATACTATCATCCTCGACCCCCACATAGATAGATAGATATACCCTCCCTGGCCACAATGAAAGGAAAGGACTTCAGATGAGGCCGGGGCTACCCCCCGGGCTGTTAGTCCAGATAAATCTGCCTCTATCTTTCTCCTGAGTTGTGCGTTACTATGAGACCTCCGATTCAGGCGACTTTAAGGCACACAGTGTTGAGGCTTGTGACCATCCGAGTTGAAGTATCTCGCAGCTGCTTTCGTTCCATGTAACAACGAAATGAATGGTGGCGCAGTGTGCCTCTCTCGTGTTCATCAACACAGCGCTTGCGGCTAACGCTGAGCAGTGTGAGCACCCTCCATATCACTTCACGAGCAAACCTTCAGACAGTTGACCGCAAAATTGGTATTGATTTGTCCACAAGAGAAGGTTTTACATAATCCTGAAGCACCTAACTCCTTTCTGCCATCTGCCACACACACTAGGCCGCATGATGGTGCAGCAGCAATAACTTACACAGCACGAGAGCACTATGATGGCCTGATATCATAACGCTCGACGGACTGTGTCTCGTCATCACACCGGTGACAGACGGTCCGTCCCTGCCCTCGTCGTCCTGATTGTCATTATTAATAAGCGTCTCCCGCTCTCGCTTACGAGGGTCATCGCCTACTCCTACTCCGGCTTCTATTTCTGTGCCGGGTGCTCCTGCTCTCTCCCTGACGCCCTGATCTTTCACGCGACCTTATACGAGTGTTCGCGCCGGGCTGGCTGTTGCGGGCATCCGACTCGCGTCCAGCATTCCTGTTGTTGTGGCTGCGGCTGCGGCTGCGGCGGCGCTTGTCACCAGCGACTGGCTGCCGCTTCTCACTGATATTGCTGCTCCCGCTGCTGCTGCTGCTCCCACTGCTGCTGCTGTTACTGCTGCTGCGACTGCTGCTTCTGGACGCCCCATTTTTTTCCCGCACACCACGGCCCAGCCTCTCTTTGTCCCGCCCCCCGCTTGCCTCTCCCGGGTGGCCCTCTTGGCGACGATACCAATCGCGCGAATGGCTCGGCTCACGGTTCTCTTGCATTCCTTGCGACTGTTCCCTCCGAGCACCAGGGCTCCTGTTTCCTGGGCGTGATGTTCGCAGTCTACCCCGTTGTTCGAGCTTTTCTCTACCCCGGCTTGCAGGCTGGGTTTCCTCCCTGTCCCTAGTACCTTCCCGCTCGCTGGTCTTCCCTTGGGTCCCTCTTGAACGGTAGTTCCTGTCTCTGCCATCCACCCTTCTATGTCGACCGTCGTCTGTGTTTCGGCGGGCCCTTTCTCTCTCGTGATGGTTTTCTCTCTCCCTGCTATCCGCTGTTCTGCGACGACTGCTTTCTGCGTTCGTGCGACCCTGTCTCTCCCCGCTCGCTGCCGCCCCTCTTCGCTGCTGTCCGTTTCCCTTTTCCCTTCCATATTCACGGACAACGCCTGCATCCGAGGTCTTATGTCTGTGAGCGTCACGGCCCCATGCCTGGTCGCTACTGTCAGGTTGACCTCGTTGGTGGAGATCGTTCTTAGCATTTTGCCGCTCGCCGTAATCGGCCTCCTCCTTGGCTTTTTTGGCTTTTTTCTTCTCCTTCTTCTTTTCCTTCTTGGCCTTCTTTTTCTCCTTCTTCTCGCGCTTCTTGGCTCGCTTTTCTTCCTTGAGGCTCTTGCGACTACTGCCCCCTAACACCGCCACGCCCGGATTCGCCGCAGCCTTTGCCGCAGCCAGGTCTCGTTGCTCTTTCTCGTAATCCACGATTTCCACCAGGCTTTCCTCTGCGAAAAAAGCAACGGGACAATTTGAGGTCAACGAGCAAAACTGGCCAGCAGTATTCAAGGTCCGTTGCCAAACTGGACACATCAAAACGGCAGTCGACAAACTGCAGAGGGTTGGCAGCCATCATATACCTGTTTGAGACCCTACGAAAATCTGACTTGTGTTGGATCTCTTGAAAAAAACTGTGTGTACCGCCTCACGGACTATCTATCCACAGCTGGTGCATAGGGCCAAGAAACTTAGCCGTCGCTCTCACCAGTGAGGCCTCCTTCCTTGCGTTCGCGTTCCCGTTTTAGCCTCTCTAACTCCCTTTCTTTGAGGGTCAGCGAGGGGATGTGCTCGTGGAGCTTCGCACTGGAAATGCAAAGTACGATACATACAACAGCAGAACAGTGCAGCAAGAACAGAGAGGTACGCATCAGAACACCTGCGGAAGAAACTAAACACCGGGCATTCGACAGAATAGAGGGCTGAGGGTCAAGGCCGAGCATCAAAATCTGTCGACCACCAAAGTATTTTCAGCTTCCCCGTGGTGGAGCGTTTAAAGTGGAGCTCACAGGAACAAAACAAAACATATGCAACGTGCGCCACGGCCGTACATTAGGCTTGTTGTCTACCTTCATCGTGACTCTCTCAAACGGCCAACAAAACCGGGAAGCTTTCATGCCATGGCGTCGACTCACGGTCCCGCCCCGAGCCCCGAAACTCTTTCCGTGTCCATGCCATCTCCGTCCACGGTGGTCCCTTTCTCGAGCAGCTGCTTCTTATCCGCCTTGCTCAGCTCCAATTGCTGCGTGCGAACCTTCCTGGGCGCGAGACCTCTGAAAGGAAAGCGCGGCGGGAAGGGCGTTATGGCCGTACGAAAACAGCGCAATGCCTAGAGAATTGGAGTGAGTGCCCCAGGGAATTCTGCGCTGAGCATGCTCGTGGTTCGGAAGATGTCCACACATTCTCTGAGTGTATCTCTCGGCCACACCATAGGCACGGAGTGATACCCAAGAGGGATTGATGCATGCTGAAGCGAAAGCCACGCGGCAACAACTTACAGCAATAACAAGGAGGATATTTTTGCGAAACAAGCTATAATACGTTTTGGCCTCCACTCTCGTTGGCATAGTTGTAGGGAGGTCAACAGCAGTTCTTAACCGCATTTAAGCGTCGAAGGGAAACCATTCCCGACAGGGATTGGTCAGTGAACAATATATGTTGCTGTGCTGTTGTAGCAGGTGTACTCACAGGGCTTCGTTGAGAAGATCTTCGTCGAGCTGCTTCACGCGGGCCTTCTCCATCTCTGCTTGGGCGCGGGCTGCGTCCGCCCCGCCTTCCCCTTTCTTGTTCCACCATTTTAGATCCTTGCCTGCAAAATGACAACCGATGCTTCCGTCAAGATCCTCTGCTGTAAGCGTAAGGACTCACAAGAAACTTGTCCGCAGTTCTTCGCACCTCGTATGCGTTGTGCACATCAGACATTAGCCGTCTTACAAACGAGGAACTAAGTGTCCCGCATCGGCTGCCTTTGAGGGAAATACCTCAATTCAATTATAGTTAGCCCGAATGAACTTGGCCACTTCGAGTATTGAAAATCCGTCGCAGAACAATAACATATGTATCCGAGACAGCCGCCCCAACTTGTAAACAAGAACGAACACACGATATTTACGTACAACGATGCCCGTTTTGTGGAATTGGACAACCCTGATTGGTGGGGGGCACGTGGTCCAGAGAGGCTTTGGTATCTACGTATTAGAGGTTGCGCCTGCACTCAGACTCTCACCTCTCTGCCATCGACCGACAGGGGCCAGAAGGCTGTGGCCGAGGTAGTTCTCACGGTGGACATCTCCCTTCACATCTTCCCACTTGAACTGATCCTGCCCACCACGAGTACCGCCAACGCGATACCGCTTATCGCCCATCGTTTCAGTTACCAACAGCAGCAGTACCACCTCCCTTGAGTCTTCTTCCCGTCTGCGGCAACGTTGTGTTTGCTACACACTGCTGTTGGCGAATACCAGCAGGCGTCAATTGTCGACAGCTCTCACGCAGCAAACACCGACCAACCCGATACTCGTTGTTTACAGCAGGGTAGCGCGACGTTGTGCTGTGTGCAGTCAGCAGTGCAGTGCAGCACACTGGAGGCTTTGGAGCTCCGCAATTTGCAAATTTGTTGCATCCAAGGGGGGCCGGAAAGGGGCCACGCCCAGTGGATGGAGTGCAACAGCGAGCAACAGCCCTGCAGCAGTGATGACACCTTGGCGGACAGAGGGATGAACAACCGCGTGGTGAAAGCCTGCATCGCGGCGGGGTGTTCGGTTGCAGGACCGGTGTTGGCATTTTCGGCCTCTGGTTTTGGCGTGAAGGCGCTGGACAGCAGTGACTGTGTGTCGTCATCTACTCAGAGGTATGTAAATTCGAGCTGTGTGTCTTCGACTGGAAACGCTGCTATCTACAGCAGGAGCTTCCAACAGCAGCAGTCTGCATCGTGAGCTGCTCTACAAATCGTCGCTCCCCACAGTGTCCCGTAAACCACAACGATAGTCAACCTGCGAATTACCTATGAGTGCCAAGAACAAGCCAATTGTTCTACGGATGATCGGATGTTGGTGACCAACACAAATTTGAATTGCACAAAACATGCATGCTACAGCAGTACAACCGCCGTGTCTCTCTCCACCGTCCCGCCCGGAGATTTGGAAGTTGGCGCTATATAGCAACTCATAGCAGGAAACAGTTCGTTTTCTATATACTCAAAGGTGAACAAGGTCACATGAAGAAGTCCGTCTTAATGCTACTGGTGAGTCCCTCGCTGGATTTGTGCCATCGCACAGCAGGATTATATTACATACTGCACCTTGCTGCGGTCGACACTCTGTATATGACTTTTTTAGAAAAAATACGCGTGGTATTCGCAGCGCTGTACGCATGTGCTGTATTGACTGTTAGGAAAGGGGATAATCCCTTGAACCCCTCAGTCCTTACCGAACAGGGATATTGACCTGGAGCTAATCTGTGAAGGCGACACGAGCCGCTCTTAGCCCGGCATGGCTCAGGAATTCCACGAAACCAAAGTTGATGCTGTGTCACAATCTCCTGTTGTCGTTGATGCAGGCCAAACCCCAAATTAACTCCCTGGATGGGACAGAGCTTCAATGCGCAAGCTGTCTCTTCCATGAGCAGGTGAATGGCGGCCACACGGCAAACGGCTATTCAACAGTCTCGCTCTCTCTGAGTTTTCAACAGTATACTATAATAGTATCAGCTACTGCACGCCTGGAAGAGGATTAACCCTCTGATGCACGGCGGTTCATAGTATTTGTAGTTGAGAACCAAATGGTATCGCTGCCACAGCATTAGGTTTAACGGGTCTCCGCGCAGGCAATTGCTTGTATGCCAGCAGCCGGCAAGACTACCATGCCGAAGAGGGCTCGATTTCTCCACTACGTCCAACCTCTTTCTGCTCCCGTTCACGCTGTTGATGCAACGCGAAACACGACAGGGTGGTCCGACATCCTGCGCTCGCGGTGCCACACTTGTCGTTGGCTCACATCGGGCGGTTGGATTTTGAGGGCCTGAAGGCAATGGGCTGCAAGGGGGTCATCTTCGATAAGGTAACAGCATTATTGACTGCGAAGCGCGCCCCCTCCTCGCCACACAGCAGTAGGTTGCGTAAGATTTCACTACCCCTGGACCATTTTTTTAAACCTCGATTACTCCACGACGAAGAGGATCGAAGGATACGTTTTAGGCAAGCTCTCTTCGAGACCGTTCCAACGCCGCCATTTTGGAGCCGTCACTCCGTTTCAGCCGCAGAGTAATCGAGCTTTGAAGATACGTCCCCGGGGGTGTGATACATGGTATCTTATGCAGCCTACGGTAAGATTTACCCCAGCAATGGTTGGTCTACAACACGTGAGGGCGGGGAAAAATCCGGCAAGCACAGGCAAGCAAGAGTCTGTCTGTCACGCGAGCATCGATCGCCACCGTGCTGACTCTTTCGGCCGCCCTCGACTATTGTACTGCTGTTTCCCTTGATGATCAGGACAACACGTTGACCGCTCCGTACGAGGACACCGTGCACCCCCTGGTAGAGGAAGGCCTGAAGCGGTGCATGGAGGTCTTCGAGGGGAGCGTGTGCATAATGTCCAACTCGGCGGGAACGAGGTACAGTATGTGACTTGTGACGTCTCCGCTGTCTTGTCTCTTTGGTTCGGTCGGATTGCGATGACGATGAAAACATCTACCGTCGTGAAATCAGATTCGCCGCCGATCGGAGGTTGGCACTGCACAACAGCAAGAATAGCGTCTGAGAAAAAAGAAGAGCACGGCAAGACGTCCTGCGGTTACGGTCCAACTTGCGCGTGAACAGTTTTACGCGCGCATTCGTTTGTTGTCCTTGTCGCAGGGACGATCCAGACTATGCAGACGCTATCCGTATCGAAACGGCACTGGGGATTCCGGTCTTGAGGCACGACGAGAAGAAACCGGGAGGGATAGCGGACGTTTTAGCGTTTTTCGAGGGGAAGGATCCTGAGGGAGGAACTGTGAGTCGTGGTGATGATCTATCTTATCTTATCATCTCTATTACTGTAGTTGCTCGTAGCTCAATTCTCCGATGCAGCAGCGCACGTGAATACGCCCTTAGACAGCTCTCGGTAGCGTGCTCCATGGCACTGTCTGTTGCTGCGGATTGTCTGTGCCACGGACCGTGGGTCGATCGCGAAGCTCCGGACTCCGGAAGTTGTACCTCCAATTGTGCCACGCTTACCTCACGTACGCGCCGCTCATGTCGTACATAGATCACCGTTCTGCTGGCGAGGGAGGTAGCGACAACCCTCGTCCGTTGTTTCAAGCAGAAAACACCCGTTGTGTCCCCCCGGTAGCTTTTCTTTTCTTCCAAGATCGCATGTTTCGGTGTCTTGCCTGTACATGTAACGATAAATTGCCCGACCACCCCTCAGGTGCGACTGGACGAGCTGTGCTTTGTAGGCGACCGCCTCCTCACGGACGTGGTTTTCGGCAACCTGCACGGCATGCTCACGGTGCACACTCAGCCGCTGACGCTCAAGGGGGACAACCGGCCAGCGGCTGTCTTCCGCTACTTGGAGAGGAAGGTAAGCCGTACAATCGAATGCCCACAAAATTGTTGCGGGATGTAGCGGGCAAGCGTGAGTGTTGACAAAATCGTCAGTGACGGCCATGCCACTGCAGTGATTGCACCACTTGCCACCTGTTCTCCCAAGTCTGGTGGGGATGCTGATGGGGAAAGCGTGGACGTCCCGGTGGAGGAGGGGGCATTCATGTGGAAGCCTTAGCCTTGGTGTTGTTTTGTTAGGCGTGGTGTGTTTGGAATTGCCCATATTGCTACATGTGTTGTTTGTTAAACAAAATTCTGAAAATGTGCGGACGTCCTTTGTAGATTGTCTCTTCTTTTTCTCTTCACTTGTTTGCGAATGTTTTTTTCCCTTCCTTCGAAAATTGTTGCTCCCACTGCTCTTGAACAACCCATCAACGCGGCAGGTGTTTATGGGCTTTTTCCACCAGACTTGTTCGGTAGAGCCGCAAGCACATCGCCTGTGCCCCGAGGGGGCGAGAGTCTTGGACCGAGAGGGGGATACTGCCGCGGAACCTGAACCAACACCTGTCTTGAATGAGACCTAGCAAGCGTTTACCTCTTGGAAAAATACCACGGCTAGAGGAAGCCTCGGTTTCAGTAGCAGCCCCTCACGTTGGCTTGAGGTCGCTGGGCATTGTTTTTTTCTATTTTTTGCTTGTGCTTTTATGGCTCCTTCGTTGCCCGTGTATCAATGGGTTGTGATGTTTGTACAGTTTATCGGAAGGGCGTGGTTGTTTTCAGATGTGCTTGAGATGTTTGCATCTATTTTGTCGTCCCAAGATGGATTCCGGCTCCGCTTTAAGTCACTGTTTTCGCGTGTGATGTCAAACCGGCGGTATGACATTGCTTGGACGCGTGCAATAGTTGTTTTGCTGAAGTGTTGTCTCACCACCCCTCCCAAGAGGCACAAGGCACCATTGAACCTGGCATTCTGTGTATGCTAGATGTGTTGCGGTGTTGGAGTTCATGGGAAGCAAAGAAAGGATTCGTTGAACCGGTAATCATAGGCCATTGCTCAAGAGTTCCATTGTAAACAGCAAAGCATTCCATGTACACACGACCACTTCTGCCTATGGCATTCCGCCGTCCCCATGCTCATGTCACGTTTCACTTTTGGTTAGGCGGGATGCGTCGCACGTGCCTCTCTGCTCGTCCTCCCCGCTCTCGCACGCCACATCAACCCTGTCGCCTTGTTGACTAATCGTGGGACCGCTAACTCTCCCTCGCCTATCTACTGATGAGTTGACCACGCCAGGGTTTTCGCTGGATAAGTGTGGCCTCCATGGGTCAGCACCTCCGTCGTGTATAACACGCCCCAAGGCAAACGTACGAACGTCATGCCATCCGCACGAATTCGTAAGAGGATGCCCCTCCCCATGCAAGTGCTGACAGGAACTCCCAAATCCCTACCGATAGCGTCAGCCCTCCCCGACTTGGCCACAGGTCCAGATGATGCCCCCCTCCGAGCTTTCGGCAGGCGGTTTTTCTTCTTCGCGCGGACGTTTCCGTTCTCGTCGGCGCGTGGAGCCAAATTTGCGCTCCGCGCTGTACCTCTTGGCTCCTCCGTCCCGAACGGCGACGTTCCGCTGCACCGCGGGGGGTGGAAGGTTTTCTTGTTTACAAACTTCTGGTCGAAATCGCTCGGCAAAGCGTATGCTGGGCCCGGGCTCTCTCGCCCTTTGAGCGGTATCGAAAGACGCTGCGATGGCGCAGTTGACGGTCGTGATTGCCGGTCTCCTCTTCGTACCATTCCGTTCTTCGCCCCACTGGTCTTTTCGTCTGATATCGCCCGGCCTTTGGCAGATGCCACCAAAGCGTTCACCGTCGCAGCTTTGCTGCACTTGGTTTGTCGCCTGGGACCAGCGAAACTTGTCCCGCGCTCCAACGGAGGACGGATGCTATACTGCCCGGGGCCTGGCGTGTCTGTTGCTTTACACGCTCCTTTCCGAGTTAGGTCGCGGTTCAGGTAACGCGTTTCGCGGAAACCAGGCGATGTTGCCCGAACCTCGCGCGAGTGTATCGGGCCTCGACGTTGTGAGTCGGGGCCCCGCCGAGGGGTTGGTCGGTCCCACCGTGATGCGCAGTTGCCTTTGTTCCCCACGTGTATTGGCCCGGTGTTCGTGGCAACGTCGCCCCACGCCTGGAGCCCCCCTCGCGTGCTGACACCGTTCAACCTAGTTCACGCACGAGTTGCTTTGGGTCAGGGATATTTTTATTCTTGTTTATTGCACCAGTTGTATAACCCTACGAATCCATCTCTATCGAAGAAAATAGTCTACGATAGATTAGCAATGAATCCCTAGCCTCAGCGAAAGTTCTGTTTTTCCACGATTTCCCGAGCAGCACACAGTGATATCTCCCCCGTGGGTAACATGGTCAACAAGACAGTTTGTTTGTACAGTAGAAGCCACTGCTGGACGCGCTAAATTTGCACGCGGTCCGATCGGTGCAAGCTCAAACGACTTTGCGTTTCGGTCTCTCGCCCACTTTCCGAGACATGTCAATAACGTGCTGCCGTCTGTTCCCCACAACGCACGTACCATCATGGGGTAGACTTACCACATACATCGTGGGGCTGTGCTGGGGCGAGCCGACCCCCGCCTTTTCGACAGCCACGACCGCTCCTCCTTCGTCGGAATCTGTGCCGCCTCCGCCGGGTTAGGCGGACGCGGCATGGTTGCCTCGCCCCAAGTCATCTTGGCGTTGAAACTCCTACTCGGCATCCGGCCCGGCTTGTCGGACTTGTTAACTCGGTTCCAATGCTTGGGCGGCCCGAAATCCCATGCCTCATGGGGGTAATATACCCCCGGGCCGGGACTCTGTGCCCCTTTGGCTTCTCGTTCGTGGCTTGGTGTGAGGCATCGTGTTGACGGGCTGAGGTAGCGGCTCTCGAGGGTGTTGACGACTGCGGCAGGTGCCTGAATGTCCAAGACGCAGCACAAGCGGTGATCACGCGTGTCAATTGTTGGTGTTGTGTTCAAAAAGGGCGGATAGTGTTCGCTGTGGTGGGGGAAACGCCAACGGACTGTTTTCTGTCGTAGCTGCAGTTTCGAGGGCGCGAACTATTTTTCACCGGTGAAGCGAAAGAAAAACTCGCTCTATGTACACACCCCGCTCGGTCTGTGCGATGCACCGGATTTCTTGTACACGGCAATGATCTACTATGTTCCCCCTCACCTTTTCTTTGATGGCGCGTTCGCCAGGCTGTGTAGTGTATGTCGCCGGGCTGACGAAAGCATTGCCGGCAGACAAGCTCGTGAGTCCCTGTTTCACAGCACAGCACCCGTTCCCGAACAGGATGAAAAACACGCGTTCAGAACTCCACTTTTTATTTTGCACGGGGCAGGGTTTCAAACCTCGATTCCTCAACAGCAGAAAGAGCGGTGGCGTCGAAACAAACATGCTGTTGGAACCGTCTCGTCCAGAGCTTTCCGAAAACTTATCGTTCATGTTGGCCTCCTATTTGTCGTGGAGTAATCGAGATTTGTACATTGGTCCAGAGGGAGTGGTATGATATGTCAATTCATTAGACTATTCAGTGCATGGTCTGCCGGTCTGTAGTCTAGAGCGCAGTAGTCTAATTTGATGCATGTCTAATTCTGTTGTCCGTATACCGTATTGTCCTGTGACATAGCCTCCCGGGGCGATCGTGTTACTTTTGTGATATCATACACCCCGGGGCCATCTCAAAGGTAGAGGGGTGAACTTGCAAAATATATATATAAAACCCCAGGGCAAAAAGGCCCCGGGGGCATAACACAGCAGCAGCACTGACACCAACACCAACACCAACACCAACACCAACAAATACGGAAACAGTCACACAAACGAGAAATGCTGCCACAATGGAATGCCGTCTGTGGGTTTGTGTGCGAACGTCCCGTGGGGCGCCCCAAAATATTGCCCAAAAACGAACACCCCGGGGCTAATCAAAGGTAGAGAGGCGAAAAAAAGAAAAAACGATACCGGGGCTAATTCACAGTTTTTTGGGGTACCATCGCGAATTTTTGCGGGGGGGGGGACTTCGACATGGAGGGGGGCTATGACAGAGAATATTATGGTCGTCGACTCTTCATCACCGAGCAAGTAGAGGGCGTCATCACCGTGTGACAAAGCTTACCTTTGGACCCTCGCCCCCCCTAACCCAGCAGTCTCGTTCTCTGAATAATATTGCGCTCCCGTCCGGCCTAACGCTACCGTCCTCCACGAGTTTTCTCGCGTACCGTGACGTTGGGACTCCCTCGACCGTAGACTTTAACGAGTACGAACCCGGTCCAGGAAAATGCGAGGTTAGCCTGTCGTCATCGAAGAAGCGCTCCGCAGTGTGGTAGGCTCCAAACAGCACCATTGTCCTTCCTGGTGGACAAAGTATACCGTACATGGCAATAGCATCAGTGCCACCGTATACTGCGGGGTGAGGTTCGATCTTGTGTGGCTCGTCAGGTGGTATCCTGTCGTCGCGTTGTCACCCTAAATGTCAGAGCAAATTTACCAGCGATGGGCTATTAGTCATGGCTGAAAAGGACTCCCTCTTTTTCTCGCAAAGATGTCGATGCACAGCAGTGTTAAATTGTTCCTGCTGTTGTGCACGTGCGAAAAGGGGTACAGCAGGAGGAACATGTTGTAATCCGACTCGCTCTCTCAATACATACAGTAGAGTTGCTATTGCCTCTCTCGCTCTCTCTCTCTCTCTCTCTTTCTCTAGTTGGCTCTCTCATTACGCTGGATAAATCGGAGCCTAACCTTAACGACTGCTGCGAACCAGGGGAAACTTGCCTCCGCTTGCAGCAGCTCTCTCCAAGCTCACACATGTTTGTACTTCATTGCGATCAGCTCATCAGCTCACATGACAGACTGACGAAGAACCTGCCGAGATGTTCCTCTTCGGGATTTTTCCGCCGCTGGTTCGCGGGGGGGGGGGGCTACCCCCGCGTCACTCTTGCACTCTTGCACTGCTGTTGCACTGCTGCCTGCTGCCCCGCTGTTCGGTGATGTGCAAGCTGCGCGACGGGCGCACGCTGACGGGCTGTGCAGGATAGGCGTCCCCGTCGTCGTCACATAGTGTTTGCCGCCAACCAATCCGCGGGGGAATGCAGATACCGGCGGATGGCTGGGTCAGAAACGCGCTTATGTGGGCAATGTGGAGCCTGTATATTTGTTTGGCCATGGCACTAACACTTGGACGTAGCGATGGCCCATCGGGGCAGGGGTTCTCGAGCTTGAGAGTGGAGAATCTCTTGTCCAAGATGACCCTGGAAGATAAGGTGAGAGTGCATTCGTCTCTGCCTTAAGGTACACCGGTACACTCAACACCCACGTATTCCGGCAATCAGCAAGCAGTTGTAGAAACTATCCGAGGAGCGGAGGCAGTTGATCCACGCCAAAGATTCAACAGCTTTTGGTGACTTGGTCTGTGCCTCTGTACCTGCTTTGGCCAGCGACGTTCCGTTGCAGCAGCAACCCAACTTGAAATAGTGACCTCGATGTGCCCCCACAGGGAGGAGTGGCGCATGAAAAGAGGCCGTTAGCTTCCGGCGGCAGGTTGGGGAAGATAAGACTTGGATTGGATGAGACCGATTACTCCGCACTTGTCAGCAACTTGCAGCAGCAGCAGCAGCAGCAGCGGTAGGCTAAACGAACACGACGCGAATATGGTACCGCACGATAGTAGACTGAGTGCGGTACACTTGTTGCCGCACCAGGGAAGCGCGGCAACGTGTACATAGTCCCACGCACATGTACCGGCTGCGTAGGATAATAATCCTGCGAAGGTTGGCAACGTGTACACAATCAATCGCACACATCTCGACGTGTGCATCTACCGCTCGCTTCGGAAAACACAAGTCCCTACCAAGATTCCACATCGCCTATTAATAGGACCTTTATTGCTTTGTTCAGGTGGGACAAATGACCCAGGTCGATATCGGGATGTTCGTCGATCCCGAGACGGGCGTGTTAGACGAACAGAAACTTACGGTCTTCGTCACTCGGTACCGCATCGGCTCGTTGTTCAACACGCCTTTCGCCGGCCACTCTGGGAGGTGAGGGGCAGGGCACGGCGGGGACGCCTTGTGTATACAGGTGGCGGTTTGAGTTGCCGATGAAGCGAAACCTCGCTAGTGTGATGACTAAAAGGGGCCGCTCGCAAAGGGTTCAGTGTCAAAACCTTAAATCCTGTTTCTTTGTGGACCTGTACAGCGTCTGGGAGAGTTGTTCGTTCCGATCGTGGTGGGACTCTCTCACGCTGGGCCGCTGTTGCTTTCATCTAACTTTGTTATGGGTTAGCTTGTGACCGTGGAACGTGTTTTGGGGTTTCTTTATGGATATAGGAAGTACTGGATAGACGACAGTGACAACATCAATTAACGTTAATTGCATCTCTGGTCTCAGTGTTGGTGTTGGTCTTATTAATGTAGTTACAGTGGTAGTATTTATTTCGTATTTGTTTCCCAAATGTTTCCCATGCAGGAGACTCTCTGTGCTGGGGGGACGTGACGGTCTTTTCTTTCTAATTTTTCTAGTAGAATTGCAAGCGCCTTCGGGGGGCCGAATTTTTTGCGCCGACAGCAGGGTCGCCTTTTTATTGGCCACCCGTCTAGCGCAGTCGGCGCTGGTAGTAGCAAACCGCGCAAACAAACGAACCTGAGTTGGTTTGGACTGATGGTAGGCGTACCCTTCGGGCGGATGGCCACCGCATCTCGCTGGTTGCACTCCACGACCTGACATCGCCTTTACCCCTCTGTTGCTAGCTACGTAACTGTTGGCGTTGTCGTCGTCGTCGTCGTCCCCATGCAATGCCACACCACGCCCCCGTTCAAAGCTGGGAGGCATCGAAGTGGCGACAGGTCGTCCGGCGCGCCCAGCAGATCGCAGAGGGTGCCGGGAGCAAACTGCCCCTGTTGGTCGGCTTAGATTCTGTTCACGGAGCCAACTACGTAGAGGTGGGATAACGTTTGCTATTGTAGTACTGGAGTAGATTACATTAAACCAAGGATGACGCTTCAGTGAGAATTTTTGTGATCTGTCTTAGGCGGGTTACACTTCCCCAATTTAAGCTATGCAGTAGTAGCAGCAGACTCTTGGGTGTTTTTAAGGGTGAAGGCCGAGCTGAAGCTTTTCTATGTGCTAAACCCTGAGCTTGACCTCCATTCCCCTCTCGACTGTTTCCCGTCTCACGTGCACGGATCAGGGGGCAGTGCTCTTCCCGCAGCAGATCAACCTCGCTGCCACTTTTAACCCCGCGCTGGCCCGCGAGGCCGGGCGTGTAGCCGCCAGAGATAGCCGCGCCGCGGCGGTCCCCTGGCTGTTCGCACCTATCCTCGGGCTCGCAACGCAGCCGCTGTGGGCTCGGGTGTTCGAGACCTTCGGGGAAGACCCCTTCCTCACCTCGAGGATGGGGGAGGCGCTGGTAAAGGGCATCCAGGCGTCGCAGGAGTGGGGTAGCGGGGACTCGGACGATGGGGAGCCCCTGCGTGCCGCCGCGTGCATGAAGCACTTCTTGGGGTACAGCCACCCCACCTCGGGGCACGACCGTTCTCCGAGCCGCATCCCGGAGCAAGAGCTGCTGGAGATGTATCTGCCGCCGTTTCAGGTAGACTTACTTACTTGACTCAACTTCTGGTGGTACGGGTGAAACTACCTGGTACTTGTGGTACTTGTACATAGTATTGTCCATCCGATGTCTCTCTGGGACTTGAGTGTTTTTTGCAAGTCGTGATCACATCATATGCATGTTTGGATTACTGTTTCCAGGGGGTCTTGCTTGGGCACTCGAACTCTCGCGTTTCGCCACTCATGACTGCATTGCATTGCCACGAATCTCCTCGGCGCACATACCACTTCTCAGGCAGCTGTGGACGCGGGCGTTTCTTCCGGCATGGAGAGCTACAACAGCCTCAACTCCATCCCGCTGGCGTCCTCTCGAAGGTACCTAGTCGACATCCTACGGGGCCGGCTGGGATTCCTGGGCATGTTGGTCACGGACTACGCGGAGATCGCCAACCTGGAGCACCACCACCGCGTCTCGGCCGGCCAGGAGGAGTCGGTGTTCATGGCCATGGAGGACACGAGCATCGACATGTCCATGGTGCCCCTGGACGCGAGTTTCGCGGAGACTCTGCTGAGGTTGGTGCGCGACGGGACTGTGTCGAACAACCGGATAGAGCGGTCGGTGCGGAGGGTCCTCGCCTTGAAGGTATGTACGTGTGGGGGTGCGGTGGAACTGCTGTTGGCTCGTACGCCAGCGGCGATTTTTGGCGCCGTTCGTTTGGAGCGGTTTGGGCTTGGCTGAGCTTGCTGCAGCGTGCAGTGCGTTGTGTGTGACGCGGCTAGAGGGAAGGGGCACACCAGCGCTCTTCTCGGATCATGATTTCGACTGAGTTGGTATTGGCACCTGTGTTCTACTGCTGTACGAAGGAACAAAAAGTGTTTGTCATGTGCTTCCCTGGGCGCGCCAGATACATATATATTCATTTTGCGACGTGCTTCTGCGCCAAAAACAATCTTCAAACCAACCGACATCATGGCGTCTTACACTACTCTCTCTTGGTCTCCTGACCGCGCAGTACTCCTCCGATAGCAAGATCAACGGCAGTGGCCCCCGTGCCCCTCCTCTCCCCGAACCCAACAACCCTTGCCCCACCCCGCGCCACCTTTTTTTTTGCGGGGGCAGGAAGTACTGGGGCTCCTCGACTCTCCCGTACCGTCATTGCAGTCCCCGCTGCTGGGAAAGATAGGGAGTCAAGAGGACCATGAGGCAGCTCTGCAGGCGGCCAGGGAATCGATCACCCTGCTCAAGAATGGACACGTGCCCACGAAGGGAGAAGAAGAGGAAGAGTCGGTTAAGGCCCTGCCGTTGGATCCGTCGAAGGGTGGCAAGCTGCTAGTGGTGGGGCCGGCCTGTGACTCGTTCACGCTGCAGTCGGGGGGCTGGACCAAGCACTGGCAGGTATGGTGCGCGGCTTAAGGCGGGTTATTGTTGTACGTTCTGAGATTTGTGCCGTAGTTAATCCCTCTGGCCTCCGCGACCCTACGCCTCCCTCGTTTCGCGCTGGTGGCGCAACCGTTACCGTTTACGTATGCGTAGAACTTTCGGGTGGAAGCTGTCCGTGACTAGTGGGTACCATGGTACGAAGGAGGATACCGAGCCCCTCAAGAGCTCTTAGCGGTGAAATAAGAAAGTGCAATGTTGTTTGCGTTTGATTGACTCTGTTTGGGGTTTGTGTTGTTATGCCGAGAAATGCCTGAGGTTAAGCCTAGACTTGACATTCAGATAGTGTTGGCGTTTTGGCTAGAGAGGAATACTGTGTCCGACGCCACTGTCTTGATGATGGTGATGAGAAGGATAAGTCCCACGTGTAGGCAAGAGAAAGTCGAAGTCGTCTTGGCAAGGTCTGGGGCACTCGAGGTCGTTGTTTGGGCTTAGGTCGGTTCATCTTTTTTTTGCCGCGTTCGGCAAGATCATTGTGACAAGGTAAACGTACATGCACTAATATAGTGAGTACTGATGAGAACCAAAATGTAGCAGAGAGTCAAGACCGTGCGGTTGTCTTCCTCTCCTCTGACTCTCACCCTACTCCCTCACTTGGAGTTGTTTCGTGTCGTTCCGCCGAGTAGTGTCGTTGGTGTTCTCGTCCCTTTGATTCGTGATGCATCTAGCGTTGATCTTGAGCGGCCCCATCTTCGGGGATTACAAGGTCACACCGCATCCGCGATCCGCGAGCGGCAACACCGTTGAAGACCAACGTCGTTCGTTTTTTGTTCGCGTTTTTATTTCCATGCCGTGTGAGACGTACGCGCGTGCGGAACATCAAGTCAATGCCCCGCCTTTCCATACCTACATGGTTTGCGGCTGCTTGTTCTTGAACTTTTGTGCCCCGCGCTTCCGGCGACCAATGACACGTGTGCTGCGATCTCTGGCGGGTCTACTAGGGTGCTTCGAATCCGGAAGAGTTTTCTCCCGACGAAGGGTTGACAATCCTTCAAGGAGTTCAAGGGTACCTGGACGGATCCCTGGAGATAGGGGTCGGCGAAGAGGGAGAATCCCCTACTGCTGTGGTCGAAGAGGAGGAAGGAGGGGACCAGCCTTCCATAGAGGTGGTCTACAAGAAGGGCATACGCGTGGACGGTTCTAACGAGCCAGACCGAGATGCTGCTCTTAGCGAGGTTAGTCGTCGTCAGTCATGTATAGTATAGTACAGTGCGATCCGGCAAAACAGCTTTTTTTTGTCAATGGTCGCGTCATTTTGTTTTTTCGAAGTATGACCCAACGAATCCATCTCTATCTAAGAAATTAGTCCCAAGATAGAGTAGCAATGAATCCATAGCGTCAGCGAAGGCTACCTGTGTTTCCACGATTTCTCGAGCAGCACACAGCGGTATCTCCCCTGTGGGTAACAGGCTCAACGAGACAGGTTGGTACCCGCCTTGTGCATCTCTCTGTAGACTATGCTATGCTAGGAAGGTGTCGGGTAGTTGCTCGTCGGGTGTGTTGGTGGTGGCACCCTTGAAGAAACACAGATGTTTGGCACGTGCGTATGCACATGGTAAAACAATTTACTCCCTGCCTCCGCGTGTTGATCCCTGGCTAGGTTCGTAGGTTGGCGTAGGCGCAAACTTCAGACGGCGAACGCTGGCGGGTACTGTGTATACACCTTACACCAACAACTTGGCGTGCACGCGCGTTGGTGGGGGCTTTCTTGAACTTGTACCGAAGGCCACGTACCGAATTGAATGCACCACACACCTGAAAGATTGGAATAGATGCCGCCCTGTGTCAGTCATCACGTGAACCGGTCTCTGTAGTTTTATATTATAGCCCGTCCTCCTCAAGTCCTGTCGGAAATATCTTCATGCACAACGGCTGGATCCGAAACGCCGGCTACTGCGCACACCAAGAGAGGAGAGGGGGCAGCTAAAACATGATGGCCGCTGTCTGTCCTCGTGTTGCCTTTTTCCGCGTACACGGTGTGCTGGCTCTTTCGGGGGTAGCCGATGTTTTCCGACGGCGGCGTTTTCGAAATATGTAGAACTTTCCCACCTGTCTCTGCTTGCACACGAACGATGGATCCTGCCACGGCACGGCAGGCGTTTTCGGCGAATGCGATCCTGGTGTGCGTCGGCGAGTCCGCATTTGCCGAGAAGCCGGGGGACATCTCTGAGCTCGAGCTGCCGCAAGGCATCTCGGCGTTCGTGAAAGACCTGAGAAAGGTATCGGACGATAGGACCCCCATCATCTTAGCGCTGCTGGAGGGCAGGCCGAGAATCTTGAGGGACATTCCCCGCACGGTAAGACTTGGATTCGGCCAGGCTTGCCACAAGGGGAGTCTGACGCTTGTCGTGCAGGGAACATACAATCACGGCCTAGAGAGAATTGTGAAGCTCCGTCATTCGTCTATTGATAGCAACAGCAGAGTGTTCTTGTTCGTTGTCGTCGGGCCGCGCAGATCTCCGACATCTCCGACGGTATACATACACTTCCTTTTTGCGATGGTTGGACGAGTTGGTTGGCGTTTAGGTTATCATTATCCGTCACGAAATTGGCTTGTTGCAATGTTTGTGTTGTCAGTCCCGACTGTTTTTGATTCTTCCTATTGTGCGGACAAGCACGTTCCATTTCTTTAGAGTTCTTTATTTTTAACATGCGAGTGCTGCTGCAACAACCATGTGTCAGTGGCTGCCATTGCATCATTTCTCGGCAGCAGGCACCTATTGGGGAGGTCGAGATAAGACGTGCTTATAGCAAGTCACGACCAGATAGAAAAGCAGAGGGCCTGACACACGAAAAGCCCGAACACCCACACCTGCAGTGCACGCTTTTGTTTTATTTGTTTTACTTACTCCAGAGTATTTAGAATGAAATGGTTGTTATATTCCTGGCTGGTTGGTGCTCTTCCGATCAGGTGGATGCTGTGCTGCACGCGTACCTGCCTGGGCCTGCTGGAGGGCAAGCGGTGGCGGAGGTGCTGTTCGGGTCCGTCAACCCTTCGGGCAGGCTGCCGATCACGTACCCCCGACATTCTGGGAACATTCCTATGCCGTACCACCGTCCGGTCAGCGACACATGCCAGGTACAGCAGTACTGCCGCTTCTTGTTACATGGTCGTTTTCGCAATAGAGAAAGTAATTGTGTGGTGACGATTGAGATGGAGTTGCCGGGGTGAGGCTTGCTGCCGCAAAGAATTAACGCTGAAAGGATTTGATTCACATGTTTGGTACTGCTTGTGACTGCTGTGACAATGAAATCCTCAGCGCTATGCATACGTGTACGTATGTGGAGGCAGTTAACCAACCGGCCACAACGGTGTAGATAGCATCTTCGATCTTCGGTTGTGCTGCTACTTCTACTTGCTTGTGTTACGAAACTTGCCGAACGCCCGGTATGGCGAGGCCATCCGCCGCAAAGACAAAACGTTATTTATTTTATCGTCTTTTCTCTTGGAGGCAATCTGGTCGAGACCGCCGCGGCATGCGCTCGCTGCTTTCCAAGCCTCCGTCGCCGACAAAGTCGGAAAAGTAAAATTGCACATATTTTCTCCTCAATTTTCTTTATTTTTTTGCTATTGGAACTCCGAAGATCAGGTCTCCCCTCATTTTTCTCCATGTTGAAAGGCCCTCGCTTTTGTGTATGACTGGCAAGCTCTCACGAACGACTATGTATGTTAACATGACCCCATCCGATGGCCATGCATTCATGCATGCAGACGAAGGACGGGGAAGGTCAGTGCGACGTTGAGTGGTGGTTCGGCGAGGGGTTGAGCTACACGACCTTCGAGTACATTGCCCTCAAGGTGGAGCCGAGGAGGATCCACGATGGCCAAGCCTTCCGGGTGGGTCTTCACTTAGAGAAAGAAAGAAAGAAAGAAAGACTTACGGTCTCGTGCAGAAAAATCCGCCAGTCAATCTCCTGTCGAAAATGGCGTAGTCTACATATTGTAGATCCCCCCCCCCCCCCCCGGTGATAGCAGCATTTTGGCTTTTATGAAGATTGTCATCGGCTGTGTTCCTGTGTTCGGGGGTACGTTATCTGCATGCTGCCCTATTTTTTTGTCTGGGAGGAGTTTTGGTGTTTTGGGCTCATGTTGATCGGTAATATGAGTTGTGCTGTGAAGGGGGGGGTTGTTTCATGTGGGTGTGATAGTCGAAGTATACGGGAGCCATCGAGTTTTTTCCCTGTAGTCCTCAAACGTGCAGTAGTGCACAGGCCGACATGATGGAAAGATCATCTGACGCACCTTTTGGGCTCACCTTTGACGGAATATGTTGACAAGACAATCATGCCATGTTGGCAGTCAATCATTCTCGCCGGAATCTGTTGACAATCATGTTGACGACGTAACCATTTGCCCTGCGGTGCGAGCAAGACCCCTGACAAACCTTGACAGACACCAACCTTCCTTCACGACCCCTGACTCCTGCCTGTGCAGCCATCAACAACTACTACTGTACCGGCGCTGTCTGTGCGAACGAGTGTTGTTGTCACCACGTACTGTACGGCACTGGTCTGACGGCTATTCTGCACCTCCTCCCTACTGTTGCAAGGATACAAGGAAGAAGCGTCTCGTCGTTGAAAATCGTTCCGATCTCTGCCAAGCGCCTTCTAAACCTCCGACTCCGATTGGTCCAACTGACGCAGATGCCTTCCGATTGGTCCATGGTCTTGCGGTCATCTCCAGCATCGACCATCAACCTGGGCGACCGACCAACCAAAAGGCGATCGTGTCTTGTTGGACGTAACGTCAACCATGCCATTGAATCTTACTATTTCCACCGTGTGTGCGTGTGTGTGTGCGTGTGTGTGTGCGAAAAGGTGAGCTTGCTGGTGAAGAACACGGGAGATAAAGCGGGAGACGACTCGGTCTTGCTGTTCGCGACGGACCTGGTGCGAAGGGTGGAGCCACGCTACAAGCTGCTCAAGGGCTTCGACAAGATCAGGCTCGAGCCGGGAGAGGCTAAAAAGGTGCAAAGTTAAACTTGACAAAGACAGCAGTTGTCCAGATTAATCGCAGTCATTTTGCGCGGGTTCTTTTAGAGTACTTGACGTAAGCAAGTACTTCTGTTTCAAGGTAAAGCGTGTGCCACCAATGTTGCTAGTTATGGGCATCGCGTGTCGTGCGGACGGGAAAGTTAAAAGTCGTGCCAGCAATCCTAGACAACCCCTCCACGGAAACCCGTCGAAGCATGTTCATGAAGCAGATCGTCATCTCCCGGAAGCACCAAAGGTTTGTTTCCTGATATCCTTTCATTTTCAAGACATCTGCCGATAACATCATTAACGCGCTTGGCTTGTTGGTCGAGTACAGGTGACTTTCAAGCTGACGTCGAAGGATCTGGAGTATGTGGGAGCTAACTTGCGGCCGGTTCTGGAGGCGGGCGATTTCCTTTTCGGAGTGGGGCCCGCGGCGGACTGTCGGGCCGACCCGGACAGTTGCGCCGCGTTGACGGTTACGGTTTCGGACAGCTATCAGCCCGCCTGCCAGGTGAACGAAACATACGCACGTATTCGATTTCCTCATTCATGGTGTGATGACTTTGGAAGGTACATTTGATTGACTCCTCTTTCTCTGCGGGTAGGTGACTTGTACTATTAACATTGCTCTGCTTGTCGAGTAACCTTTGCGCGCACGTCGAGTCCGCTGCTTTTCTGTGGTCACTTTTAAGGATGACCCCTTGATGTTTTACCGCTGAGGGCCGTGATATCATCGTGTTTCTTTCGCACGCGACTGCTGTTGGCGGAAACCCATTCCTTCCAGTTATCATATTCCGCAATGATCTCCCCGTCTTTGTCCCACAGGCCGCCTGTGGGTTGTGGTTTCCCCCTGACGATGCGGCTCCTGGTGGCTACGTCTGTCCCCGCGAGGCCGCTCTGGCCTTTGGCAGCGAAGCCGACTGCGTGGAAGAGTGTGTTGAGGCGGAGTGGGGGTGGGGCTACGTCTCTTGCCTCGAGCAGGTGATACGTTTGATGATGCCATCATGTCGTTGACATTGATGTGATTCATGTCGTCGACATTGATTTCCAATGGTCGTTGGCAGACTTAGTACGCCCTGCACGTACGAGAGAGAGGAACATTCCTTGTCTCACAGCAGTCAAGTAACACACCTCTGTAGCGTACAGCAGTAGAGGGCGCAACTTTTCTCTGGGTTTCTCACTCTGCTGAATGGCTAAATAGTGCAACAAGAGGAGCAATTATTTCGTTTTGAGACAACGACAACGACAACGACTACGATTGGCGAATACGCACGGGAGGTATCTAGGGTTACCTGTCCTTGGCGTACCCCAGTTCTGCTGCATGCTGCAATGGCGATTGGGCACAGGTATGTAATTTATTCCAGACCTGATAACTCCCCCCCAGTGATCCAATGCATCACTCCCTTTGCCAAAACCAAATCATCCGCTGCACAAAAATTTCCCGCGCAACTAAAACAGGCGGTTTGGACGGGAACGTGCTCGTTCAACCAGCAGTGCCGGGCTGTGGGTTACGCCGCCGTTCCCCCCCCAGAGCCGAGGGGCTCACACCACGCCAGGGGAAGAAACTCCTCCCTCATCACCAACATCGGGGGCGGCATGCGCCCCCGTGCCGGTAGCGTAGACCTCGCTGTAGGCGTGGGCGCAGGCCTTTGCCTCGGCGCCGCCGCCATGTTTGTCGTGCTCATGACGAGATTCCGGCGGACTCCGCGCTGGCGACAGCACCAGAGACACGGGCAGGGTGCCCGTGGCTTCGGCTACGACGGGGTTAGGTTACACGGGGGGGGTGGGGGTGGGGGCGGGGGAGGGGGGGGGGGGGGCTCGACGTGGCCCCGCCGAAGGAGTGGGTTTCCCATGGGGAGGGGGAAGGGCAGGGCGGGGCCGAAGGAGGTGGGCGCTAGAGCTCGGCCGGGTGGGGTTCGAGTACGACGGGGATGAGGCTCGAGACTTTGCCGCCTTCGAGCTGCAAGACGAAGATGGCGGCGTTGGGGGGGGCAGCAGCGTCAACAGCAGTAGCGTCGTCCCTCCAAGAGCAGCATCGAGTGTCCACCGCAGGCTAGGTTCCGGCGGGGGCAGCGGGGGGGCATTGTTGGGGACGGCACCGGCGAGTCATCGGGAGGATTTTGGGGCAGGCTCGCGTTTGGACAGGGAGATGTCGGTGGGTGAGGGGATTAGTCCATCTCCTCCGCTGCTGCTGCAAGAAGAGTCGAGTGAGCACGACACGCTTCTCGGAGGGCAGGGTGAAGAGAACAAGAGAGACGGGTTCGGTAGACGTCAGTGACGTGACGGTTAGCAACGTTGTGAGAGAAAGCTTGTTTGTGTGCACAGTCTTCCGTGTTGTTGAATCTTAAAATGTGGGTACGGTATTTGTGGTGTTATGGATGGTGTCGAGTGGCGACAAACAAGTCGTTTGATCAGCGGTGCGCGACATGGACCCGTCTCGCGATTGAGAGCATCTTAAGAATAATATAGGTCCCCGTGAATCTGGTGGGGGTACTGTACCTTGAAAGCGCCGAACGGCCGCTTTTTCAAGAGACTTGGAGGTCTAGAGGTCTAGACGATATTATTTAGGTGTCGTTGCGGTCTTGAGGCGAACACTACCACATACCACGCGCGAACACCCCCATGCACGCACCCTGAGGTGGGCTGGCGGACCAACAAGAACGTTGATCTGATGCCTGCAACCCGACAAAAAAGACAAACATCAGCAGCTTGGTCAAGTCAAGACAAAAACGCCATCGCCCCGCAGCAAAACTTGTGGTACCTGGTGCTGGTACTCGAGATTTACAAACAAATTTACCACTGACTGACGATGCCGTCGGTAACGATTTTTATTTGTTGTGCGCCTCCACCTGACACGAAATCCTGCCATCGCGACACCTCACACAACCTTACACCTTACCCGACGGCGACAAGGAAACTTGCGCGAAAATTTCGCCATTCTTCTTCGGCCTAACACCAATCCCTCTCTCATTGTCTGACATCTCCACAACAACACAGCTATGAAGCTCACTTGCCCCCCCCCCCCCCCCCCCCCCCCCCAAAAAAAAAAA